GAATGGAGGCTTCAGTCTTTTTGTTAGCAGCCCAGTGTGTTAATCATTTGCAGCACCCAGGGACTCCTTTAAAACATTACCCATTGCCATCAGACAACTCATAGTGCAAAACTGCTGCCGTAGGGGTTCCAAGGCTATAAATCTTGACAAATGCAGATTGCCACATTTTTCTTCAATAGAGTGCATGGTGGGTTTGAATTGTTGTTCTCTCTGCCTAGAATTCCTTTCCTCCAATTATGAGCATGACTTGCTCCCACACTTCCTTTAAGACAATGCTCAAATCTCATCATCTTCTTTAAGCTTAACCTAACTATTCTGTTTTAAATAAAAAATACTCGCTCCATCCCAGTTGCTTTATTTCTTAGGCAGATTAATCACCTCCTAGCATGTTATATGTTTTATGTTTCATACTAGTCTCTTTCCTAGAATATAAATTCCATGGAGGCAGGGATTTTTGTCCTCTTCAAAATTCTGTTCCTAGTGTATTCAGGTGCTTGTCGTGTATAATTTTAGTTGATGCTCTGAATGAATGACAGCTTTGACCCAAAACACCATTGCGCAGTACAACACCAACAATGCACTTGACTAGATAGACATCTGAGACAGTTGTTCTGTCTTTCAAGGATCTAAGGAGAATTCATACTAACAAGACTCTAGAAGGGCCGTGTCTAAGGAAAAATAGCTAACACTTATTGAGTATAATAATTATTATATGCATCAGGTATTCTTCTAAATCTATAATTGTTGTTAAGTGCTGTTAAGTTGGTTCCAACTCATAGTGACCCTGTGTAGGGTTTCCAAGGAGTGAATGGTAGATTTGAACCTCCAACCTTGCAGGTAGCAGTTCAATGCATATCCTACAGTGCTCACCACAGATTCCAAATATGTTGTTTGCAGTTCAAACCGACCTTGTAATTATTAAGTTACATCAAGTGGGTTCAGACTCATAGTGACCCTATATAGTATTTTCAAAGAGCAGCTTGTGGGTTTGAATCACCAACTTTGTGGTTAGTAATCCAATGCTTATCCTAAAGG